TGATGCTACTATACTATGCTATTCTAGGTATGCTATTGCCATTTATGATAGACTGCAATAGAATATAATCAATTGTTACTTGTAATTATTTCTTTTTGCTTCCTCAAGCCTGGTACAATGATGATTTGTTATCTAGTTGAAATTGCAATAAAAATTATTAAAAGGCATACCGGTACACCAATTAGATTTACGGCAAAAATGTCATTAGTAACCTCAGCCCCCTAATATTAAGAAAAAATCTTTGATCTTATTGAAGAATATGCAATGGGTGGTGCCTTTTATAACCTTGTCCAAATTCACTATATGATTTTGAGTCAGCTCAAATTGCCAATAATATCCCTCTAATTGCATTATTCCATTCATTATAAACCAGTTTAATTTTTTCTATAAGCTTCATTATCAAGCAATAGGCTTTGTATTCGCTAAAAGATCTCGCTCTAATTCACTTGTTGATTCTGATGGATCATCTGAATGGTATTCACGTTTTGTCATTAATTAGCTTGATGAAACTTTGATTCATAACTAGATGGATGAAACTATATCTTGATCTCTAAACTATTACCAGTCATGCTGTTGTAGGGGGAGTGGCATTGCTTCTGTAGCTAAACATTTTGGCTTTCATGATTGTTTCCTTCTGTACTGTTTTTTTCAAATATGTCAATTTACATAATTTATATTTTTCCCCTTTGTCCTGACATGGAAGTAAACAAATTTATGTAATATAAATGAAATTCTAAAAAATTAGACAAATAATTTAAATGGTAACCACCAATTCATATTGTTGATAAATGTATCAGCATTGGAATCTTGGCGTACATGGATTGTGATGTTCCCGTGTTATTTGCGGGGAGGATTAAGAAATAAAAGCACTATAAATTAGGAATGGAAGCTAAGTTAGTCTAATAAAAGTGTGAATAAAAGAGATGCTTTGTTAATAAAGTTTAGTCAAACTTGTAAAGACGTGACAAGCCAATGAGTGCAAGTAGATAGAGATTATGTTTAAGGTGATGGGTGATGAATTTATTGCTTGAGATATTATGTTGAATAGTTTGGTATATAGAGCACAGAATGGGGCAATGGTGCATAATAATTGCTGTTAGAAATAAAAATGAGAATGAATGATACTGCTAATAACACTATTAAACTTAAATGCAAGGCAGGGAGTATATTTTATCATGCCAAAATTAAAGTTAGCTTGAAGATTCATTCCAAAACTGAGACAATGTACTATCATCATAATCATTGCGATGAAGCTGGTTGCTTCCTTGGGTTCATTTCTAACAATTGTGAGGTACTCTCCTTAAAACTCTCCTATTAATCAACAAGCATTATTTCAAACAGGACTAAATGGAACAGTTAAACATTAATGCAAATATACATTTATCAGAGGAACACCCTAAATACATTCACTTGGCATTATAGATACAAATTACGGGAAGTGGCTTAACCATATCAATACGAGATCAGGATGCCTTGATCTTGGAACACCCCAGACGGGATCTTCAAACTCAACTTTCAACCCTGTCTACGTCCCGCTCTCCACAGTCCCGAAGCACAGTGACTCCTCAACTCAGCAACCCAATAAACGCAGTTCTTGTTAGCTATACTAAAGTCACTAAGATGCGCTACAGCAAGTTGACAATGCCATTACATGGGTTGCTAACAGTATGACTACTGGCTACAAACCGACATGCCGTAGTCTTTCCCTACTGTTGTTGCCTTGAATTCAGTGCCTTCTAGAACTCGTTTTATGTCCCTAATTTTACATCCTTACAATCATGAAAATTAGTTACTGATAATTTAATCTAGCAGCAGAGATGTGTGGAAATTTGTGATGAAAAATTATAAAGGATTACACATGAAAACATCAAGATTAGGATTGACACAATGAAGCTAGTGCGATCATTAAGACAAGTACCACATAATCATCTGTCTATAGACTTTGGAAAGTAAACTCATCTAATTGATATTAGTTTTAATGAAGTAATACAGACTAGTAAACCATTGATGAATAAAGCTGTGAAAATTTATAGATAACTGGATCAGAGTTATGGTATATGTCAGAAAAAGCTTCAGTTGTCAATCAGTATTCATGAGTGGAACTTGGAACAGGGTTGGCGATTTTTTTGATTTTTTTAAAAAATCAAAAAAAACAAAAATCAATGATTTTTTTGATTTTTTCATGATTTTTTTTATTTATTTGATTTTTTTGGTTTTTTCAACTTTTTTGTCGTTTTGATGTGTTATTTTTTATGTTGCAATTAGCCTACTAACAATACCAGTATATGGATCATAATGGATGGCTAAAAAGGGCATTTATTGCCTTCAATAATGGCCAACAGGCCAAGGTGATGTTTACCACTTAGGGATTTTTGGGTAAACAATTATTGGTACTATGTCTATTCATTAGCTTTGTAAAGTTTGTATGGAGCAAGGTAATAAGCTAAATATTGACCATTTAACTGGCTTCATATGCCTCTGTACCAAAAACATTCAATTTATTGGAACCTAATACACACTAAAGGCAACAAGTTTATATACCAATTTGTCATTTATAGTACATTTATACTAAACCATGAATAACAATAACAATACCTCAATATAAATTAAAGACTGCCACTCAATATATTTAAATATATGAAAAAATCAAAAAAATCGGAAAAATAAAAAAAATCATGATTTTTTTATAAAAAAATCAAGTGATTTAATGACATGATTTAATCATTTTGATTTAATCATTGCCAACCCTGACTTGGAACAAAACTGCTATCTTGGCAGCAAATTTGTTATAGCCTTGCATTGAAAAATAGCAATAATGCATCTCAGCAATACTGTCAAACGGGGTAATAAGGGACGGGTGGGGTAAATCAGGACAGTCATCCCACATTTTGAACAAATGTTGTAGTAGCAAAACTAATAAAAATATTGTAAAACTAAAAATAGTAGCTAAATTTCAACATTTTTACTGTCTATGTAGCATAAAGCAAGTTAGGAAATCATACATTTACTACCTCTAAAAAATCCTGGAAAAAAGTGTGAAAGTGAGATTTTGGATTTAAGTACCTCTGCTAAGGTCTGTAGCAAAAAAAAAATGTTTGCCATATTAAAAAATTTTACTCCCATGAAAGTTGCACACAGATGTTGTCTTTAAAACGAGATTGATGAAATTTGCGTAGCTCATCCCCCCCCCAAAAATGGCAGCCATTTCTGCAAGATGGGGTAAAAAGGGACACCCCCCTGCCCCCAGGGTAATAAGGGACACCCTTAAAAATGCATGTACAGTAGAACCTCAATTAGCAAAGGCTCCAGTTTGCAAAAAAATCAATAAATAACCAAGAATTTTAATAACATTTACCCCGCTCAGCAAAAAATTTTGCTTAAGAAAAAATTAATGCATCACCATTCATCACAAAATTGTGTGTAGATTGTCATAAATAGAATTATGCACCATGCAGCATAGGATGAAAAGTAATTAAACTAAACTATGATTTGTTTCTTCAAAAAATATAATGGTTGTCTCTAAAATATTCATTTTTGTTTCAGGTATGTTTTTTTACAATCTATTTTTGTTATAGTGAATTCACTTGACCCAATTAAAATGGTGCAAAATTACAAGCTGTCCTGAAGCTTACAGATACAGAAGAAATGCTATATGGCTGCTGATATGAAACTTGCAGTGGACAAGGTCATTATCAATGCTCATTGGCATGTCCATGGATATGGTAATATCACATCAATAATACGGTCATGAATGGATATGGTAATATATCAATATAGGAAAAACGAGGGAAATCACAGAAAATGTCATTTATTCTACATCTACATTGTCGACAAAAGAAGAGGGGGACTTCAGAGTACTGTTAGTAATGGATGAGTACACTCTGCATGCTTCAAACGTTTTAAAATTAAGTTTTATTTCAGGTGTCCCAGATTACCCCATTCCCAGGGGTAATTTGGATGCTTATATTTTGCATCTGGCACCTTATGAATAGCATATGGAATTTTTTCAGAGATGCCATACAATAACTCTTGCAAAGGCTTTTGAAATAAGCCCAAATTTGTTTATGAAATGTTTCATGGTAAGAATTTATAAACAAAAAAAGCTTAAAACGTCCTGTATTGCCCCGTTTGATGGTAGTGAGTGTCCTTGGCATATTTATCCAAAATTCATGTTGGTGGTTTGACAAGCATGTCACCTAGTTCACTTATATATGTTATCTGAAAGTTTGTGTTGGGTTTAACTCCATTTATCTTACTTTTATTACAACACTTCTCTTTAACTTCACTTCTTGTTTTGTTTGTCTGTCTGCTACAAATTTTATTTTCAATATTTAACACACTTCTACCTGTCCAATTGATCTGAAATTTTGCATACTTGGGTAAAGTTGGAGACAATGCATGAATCAATTGGCAGAATGAATAATTTTCAAAATTTATATTTTTTTTATTTTTTACCTCAAAAAGTGAAAAAAATAATTTTGTCCACTACAATTCTTATAATCAATATTTAACACAGTTCTACCTGTTCAATCGATCTGAAATTTTGCACACTTGTGTAAAGTTGGAGACAATGCATGTATCAATTAACAGAATGACTAATTTTAAAAAAATTGTAATTTTAAAAATAAAATTAAAAAATTTATTTTGTAATTTTTGATAATAAAATTAGAAATTCACTGTACATGTGTAACATTGGAGACATGGATTCTTAAGAAGTGTTGTCTTTAAAAAGTAGTTTGTAAACTCAAATTATTATTTGATTGTGATTAATGTGCTTAAATCTACTAGCTTCATCTTTAGTGCTAATTAAATGTTCATTAAGCTGTTTTGATACCATATGAATATCTTGGTTGTTTGTATTGTGGGGAGACCCATTTCCATTAACTCTGCAAGGAAGCAGGAGTTTCTTGCTAAGGGGTATTTGCAAACCCCCAATTCCTGAAGTGCAATTTGATTTAGTAGACATGAACTATTGGAATTGTATCTGGTGACTATTGCAGTTGAGAGAGGCTGGTGGTCTGGGCTGATTCTCCTGCTAAGGCCTTCTGGTGTTGGCAAATGCAAGTCTAATGGTAAGCTCAACATTTAGATATGAACCAATATCCAAGGTAGGATTAATTTATGTAGATAAAAATAATATTGTGTGGGCCATCACTTATATTTGACTTTCCATTTATATTATCAGAGACTGTGTTGCTTCCAATTATTTGCATACAATGAATTACTGCTTTTATTTCGTCAATATGTTTATATCTTTTGGTACTAGTTTTGCCTCCATGTAATTTCTATCAATTCTATCCAGCAACAGCGGCCAGTGGCTCATCTCTGCGCCCTAAAGTCATTGTAGCTAACATCAAGCTTGAGCCTCTATATGAGGAGGACATATCTGTGAAGGATGAGCCTATTGATATTGATGAAAATCAGGTAAAGTTATTTCTCTATGGTAAAGTTATATTATGTAAATAACTGAGTTTATGGTTTTTGATCACAATTCTGCATTCTAATAAAATTTGCATGATTATGTCTCTGGCAGTGAACTTTGTAATGACACGCATCTGCTCCCTGAGCCCTGTTAGGTGTAATGATTCCCATGCATGCTGTATACAATTCATTCATATTTCATTTAAATCGAGGTTCTTTAGGGGGAACCATTTGATGATGAATGACTGAATTGAAATTCTATTCGAATGTTTCATTGCAAATGCCAGTGTTTGAAGTAACATTATACACTTAACACTTTATCTTTGAGGTCAATTTTGAATTATTAGCTCAAAATCCACCGCAACTAATTTGCCTTCATTAGGATATTATCAAAGTATACATGACTGATGTGACCACCTGTTGTGTCAGGCTGGTTCACGTGAGCCTCCCAGCCCTGGGTGTGGTGGCCAGCTAGCTCCACCTTCCCCATCAGGTATTTACCACAAACAAACGAAAATATAGCGACATCACTGAAATGATTTTTGAGTGGTATAAAAAAATACCTGAAGTATTGTTGTGTATTTTCATATTTCTAAAATCATGAAAAAATTATATTTACATGGGAGTCCCTAATTTTTAAAGTCCCTATCACATCAACAGCAAAAAGGATCAATTGAAATAAAACGCACCAATTTCTTGAGATATGATTATGAAGATGAAAATTATATTCTGTGGGTTAACATATATATAAGACTTTCCCTTTATATTAACAAGACTGCATTGCTCAAAATTATGTGCATACAATGAATTACTGTGTGGATTTCGTCAATGTGTCTATAGATTTTGGTACCAGTTTTGCCTTCATGTAATTTTATTTCAATTCTATCCCACAACAGCGGCCAGTGGCTCATCTCTGAGCCCTAAAGTCGTTGCAGCTAACATCAAAATTGAGCCTCTATATGAGGAAGAGGACATATCTGTGAAGGATGAGCCTATTGATATTGATGAGCTAGCTCCACCTCCCCCATCCGGTTGGCCGGACAAGATGGAAGCTCAAATTGAGGCTCGTGAAGCACATGTAGCCCACCGTCCTGCGTCGCTCTCCTCTACCATGCCTGGACATGTGGTGGGTGGTTGTGTGCTGGGACGATTGAGAATTTAAAGTAATGCATCACTTGATGATTTTCATAAAAGCCTCATAAGCTTGGTTGATTTTTTCAATCACTTATCATCAGGCATTTAAGTTCTAATTAATGGATATATTCATATGCTAATTTAACTATAAAATAACCTGCTATTATCATACTACCTTGTAGCCTACTTCATTTGGACCTGCTGTTACTTCTTGTTTGTTTAAAATTATTGTCCAATTTCACTTTACCAGTAAATTCTGCATACACTGAGATGGTTAAAAGTAAGGTGTATAAGCCAACCATGGAGCTGTACCATCTGGTGCAAAAGCTTCACACAGAATTTTGAAACTTATAGAGCCGCACTGTATCAGCTCATTGTGAGATTCTGGGCATGGCGAGAGCCGAGCGCTTTATTTCTTCATCATCTCCTTCTCTCAGAAACGCCATCAAGCTCTTCCTTGTTCTTATAAGTGACAGATCAACATTAAATAGAATAATCAATCCAAGCATGACGTGCTTATCAAATAATCCTTTTTGACGCATAAAATGTCCAATTTAGCCCAAAACAGTATGAACACACAAAAACAAACCAAAAATTACTAAATGCAATTCAACAAAATTACATTATATTCCATGACTTTTTGAATAATTGAAGCTAAGCTTCGTGTAGATTTTGGTCAAAGTTGCAGGTAAGCGCCAATAAAATTTTGATTCATTTGGATGTATTTCCTGTAACAAATCCCTGTTGCCAATGTGCCCTCAGAACGTGGGTAGGAGGCAGTCCGCACCTGCAGGAGATCCAGAAGACGCTGGTGACAGCGGCGGCGTCTCGGAAGCGTCCAGCTCCCAGCAGTGCAGCGAGATTCTCCCGTATTCCCAGCGGGGTTTGGTTGATGCCAAGGTTACCTGCCAAATGCAGCAGCGCCATCCAGATGAGCAGGCATCCTCAAATCTGTACTCATGCTTTGACTGTGAATATTCCTGCGGTTCAGAGCTTCAACTTCTGAAACACATTCATGTTCTTCATAAGCATTCCTCTAAAAAACCTCTTGGCTGCTCAGAATGTGAATATTCTTGTGTGACTAAGAGCCAGCTGGAGAGGCATGTTCTTTACAAGCATACATCTAAAAAACCTCTTAGCTGCTCAGAATGTGAATATTGTTGTGTGACTAAGTGCCATCTGGCGAGGCATTTTCTTTATAAGCATTCATCTAAAAATGTCTTGGCTGCTTAGAATGTGAATATTCTTATGTGACTAAGAGCAAGCTAAAAAATCATAATCTTCAAAAACATACATTTGTGTAAACTCTCCGCTGCTCCAAGTGCAAATATGCTTGCGCCAGGAAAGAAAGCTTAAGGTTGAGATTGAGAACCGTGAGCCCTCAGGCAGGCTTGGCTGGATCCCTATGAGAATCTATCACTACTTATAGTCGTTATAACTCCACTCGTAATTGAAATATCAATCTAAATTTTTTTTGTGCTCATTCAACTATTTATTTACAATTTCCCTACATGTTACAAAATCTACATAAATTTTGTATAACTTCAGTTATGATAGAGTAAAATGTTGCACATCGATATTCATTATACATGCAAGTGATGGGACTTACCTAATTTTTTGAGACATGAGGAAGTAGTACTATATATTCTCTATTGATCGGTATTAAAGTCATGTTTGAATCACCCTCTATTTCGTAGAAATTTCCAAACAAAATACTTTTTCATCACTCCTGAATTGTAGATTTCCCATTTTCTTTGGAAGCTGGCCCTGAGCATGTTAAAAGTGTCGTACCGTTCTAGCGATGCCTTTCTTGATGGTCATAAATCAGCTGGCGTGAAGTTGCATAGTTCTCGTCTACCCTCTCCCTTGGGGGTAGAGGGACAGCCTCCTTACCCCCTTACCCTCTTGGCTGGTAGGTGTTAAAAGGCTAGCGCGTTTAGATTACAACCTATCATTGTTCGTGTGCGAGGACACTGGCGGCAACATGAGTTTCTCTCTCAAATCGAAAAAACTGTGCCTTTTATCACGACGATCCAATAAAGGTCTCCAATTGAAAAGATGGAGGTAAGATTTATTACAGTCGTTACTTATCATGGATATAACAAGATTTGAATCTCATCAGGAAGTGGTCTCTAAAATAGAAGTTGAAAATTCCTTTATTTGTTATAGTAACTTTTAATAATGTCAATGGTGAATGCTAATGATTGCGATGAAGTACAGCCCATGTTTATATATTACTACAGTGCTGTATCGATGTTGTTGCAAAATGCTGAGCCATCTAATAGCAGTGAAGAACCAAGCGTGCAGAAAGTCGAGCCACCTAATAGCGGTGACGAATCGAGCTTGCAGAACGCTGAGCCCCCTAATAGCAGTGAAGAATCCGGAAGATATGCGTATTATTGTCATTATCTAGATATATATATATTGTTCCCATAGTATGCACACCGAATTTGAATATTTGCGCAGTATGTTCTCACTGAATGGGTTTCCTTCACAATTGGTGTATACTCAAATTAAGAAATTCTTGTCTAAACAATATGCTGAGGTGGTTCCCGAACGTGACGATAATAGTCGTGTTTATTGTTCTTTTCCTTACTTTGGCCCCGCATCTGAGACGTTGGCAGAGGAGTTGAAAGATCTATTCTTTAAATACCTCCTGTATGTAAATCTTAATGTATTGCTAGTGAACAATTTTAAAATTAGCTCGTTTTTCAAGTACAAAGATCCTCTCTCTGTTCTTATGCGATCATCCCTAGTTTATCAATATAGTTGTGCGCAGTGCGCACCTGTGTATGTCGGTATGACATTGCACAATTTTTATACTAGGCTTGCATAAGGTCAGGAGTTATAGAACAGGGAACATACCTGCGCACCCCCCTCATTCAGCCGTACGTATTCATGCCGAGCAGTGCAAAGTCCCGGTGTCCAATCTGTCTCTTATACACATCTAGATGTGTATAAGNCCTCTGTTCTAGGTTTTGAACTGACGATGGAGCTGGACTCCAAAACGTTTTCTCTTATAAGAAATGGTGAACTTTTTGGCTATTTTCTTTACTTTTAAATTCCAGGACAATGATATAGTTGTTAAAAAATTCACCGAGTCTTTAGTGAAGGGAAGATGTTGCCCTAATATATAATGGTTGTGTCACTTCAGCTTCCACGTGGAGATCTGTAATGCACCTTGGCCCTTCATGCATTGAAAGTTCCAGCTTGGTAAATTTATAAGTATTAACTCAGACAAGGTGGAACCTTGGGAATGCTTTACAACTGATTAGCAAAACTGTGTACTTTTTATGCTGCAGATTTTGTTAGTTTTCTTCTTACCCTCCTTTTATTGTCATGAGAAGTAGAAACAAGAGACCTCATGGGAAAGAACGGATCATGGCTAAACTAATAATTGACCATGCATAGTTTGGCTGTATCAATGTATTTTGTTCCGTCTGTAACATCAAAAAGCTTTATACCACAACAGCTTTATACAAAGTTAATAAAATTATTGATTGGTAAATAATTGATAACAAATATAGAATCGTGGTGATTTGATTTAGGAATATTTCTGCTGACTGTTGTGGGTAGACCCATTTTTATTCACTTTGCAAGGTAGCAGGAGTTTCTTGCTAAGGGGTATTTGCAAACCCCCTTTCCTGATGTACAAGTTTTTTGAGTAAAGATGTTCGATTTGATTTTTGTCTGATGACTATTACTGACTAGTCTATGTTAAGTACCTATAGCAGTTTACTCCAATATTGATGAAGTACACTCCTTAGGCTAATCACGTTTCTAATTAAAGTGTGGCAATTCCAAACTGGGATATAACAGGCGATATTCTAGGAATGAGGAATGAAAATTGAATACTCAACTCGTGTGAGTTGGCTTCTTTCTTGGTCTTGGTTCTTTATGTATGCCTGCTGTTCCCTCCTTTTGTAATTGATCCTCACTCTAATCAAGACATATAATAAACCAAAAATTTACCTAAGTGGTGATTTGAGATGTCTGTAGGGAAGGATGAGTCCAACAATCAAACCCATGTTTTGAAATTTCTGATGCAGCAAGCACCCTCAATCTCACTAAGTTACCAACCGCATTATTGAGAGAGCTTCCGTGACATTAGGCACCCAAACAGAGACCTATCATTCTCCCAAAACCTCTGCACTTCAGCATCTGGAGCAAGTCAGTTGCGTTCACGGCAGAAGCATGTGTGTATATCATGTTCTCTAAACACCGGCAAAGTTTGTGACATTAATTTTTTTATCTACTTATTAAAAAATGCATTTTTACAAGTGGCTGTCTCCTTCAGAGGTTTTGCCAGTCTGCTTTGATTATTTTATTTTTCTAATTTTTTCTAAGGTGTTTGATTTCATATGTGACAAGGAGTTGATGTCTGTCTGACATGGGAGATACTAGCTGCCTTACTAGATCTGGGTTTGGTTCCCCAGCATCCTCCAGTACAGCAGAGGTTGGTGAATTAGCCGAGTGTGCAATGATAGAGAATGACGTTGATATTCCTGGTAATTTTGTTGTTGAAGACTCCGATCTAGACAGTAACATTAAAGCTACTCCAGTTGCTTATGCAAGCACAGGGATGGTGAATCTGATGGGCCAAATTAGAGCATTTATAGCAACAGAGCAAAGCGTGCAGCTGTGGCAGAGAGTTTTTAAGTTTTTTCCTCAAGTTCAATTTTAAGTTCCATTAAAAGACCAGGAAAGTATCATGGATACCTCACCAGCATTATCATACATAAGATAAAGGTTTAAATCTTTAGTAAATCAGGTAATTAAAAATGAACTAATTCTAAAAAATCTCTGGTTTGCCACCATGCAAAACATGCAGCTCAGCAGCTGTGGTTAGCTAACTGCATCCAAAAGTATCTAACCCAACTAACCTTATACATGGAGGCTTTATGCAGCCATACCAACAGTGAAACTAATATCAAGCGCCTCAAGTTTTCTAAAGGACCTAATTGGTTTTGATTGGGGTATTATAAGCTTATCTTTTGGTACAATTAGTGATCTAATTGTTTGCACTAACGCTCAATGCTATAAAGGCAAAACAGAGATCTTTTACAATCAGTTAATTTTTTAATTTTCTCATCTCAATATTTTTATCAATTTCTCATGTATGATGATGCTGGTATCCAAGATACTTACTGGCCTACTTATAGGACTCACAAATGAATATGAGAAGAACAAGAAAAATTTTCTTCTTTACCACTCTGCTCAATGCCAGCTAATTGCATTGGACAATTGGAGTCTCCTTCATTCAGTGGTCAGATGTCCAAATATTTCTCGGTCCCAAAAATTGGATAATAAGCAGTTCACAGTTATCAACCTGGCTCTGATATACAAGTTTGTGTAACTTTGGGCCCAATTAATCCCAGTTTTTAGGTCAAGGACATACTGGAAGTTACAAATTCTGGAGATATTGTTGCAGATATTACTTGCCTATCCAGGACCCAAATTGGAATTCATGAGCCCTCTGTCACCCTAAAGATCATGTTTGAGGGACAAACTTTGTCCAGCAGGGGTAAAAATTTGGTAAGTATCTTACTCTTGAAGGCATTCTGTGGCTGCTGTAACAAGACGATATAGGTAAGTGTCAAAATTTGGAGCACTGAAGATAATGATTCTCCCAGGAGATGCCATATATGTGCAGGTCTCAACAAACATTCAATGTGTACATCAGCTGTAAAGTACTGTGCTCACTGCAAGGGTCTCCATTGAGCAAATGCTCTAGAGCTTTCTTTCATCATTAAAGCTGCAGTTGAAAAGCTGCATGCTACTACTGTCAAACGGGGTAAAAAGGGACAGTTTTGAGCGTTTTTTGTTAATAACTTCTTACCATGAAACATATCAGAAACAAGTTTAGGCTGATTTTATAACTCTTGCGAGGGCTATCCAATGGCATCTTTAAAAATATTCCATATGCTATTCGTAAGGTGCCAGACGCAAAATAAAACCATCCCGATTTACCCCTGGGAACGGGGTTATCCGGTACACTTGCAATAAAAGTTAATTTTAAAACGTTTGAAGCATGCAGAGTGTACTCATCCATTACTACCAGTACTTTGAAGTCCTCCTCTTCCATTGTAGATGATGTAGATGTAATATAAATGACATTTTCTGTGATTTTTACTTGTTTTTCCTTTATTGATATTATTTACCACATTCATTAATTACCATAGTAGTAATGTGATATTACTGTATCCATGGACATGCCATTGAGCATTGACAACGACATTGTCAACTGCAAGCTTCATATCAGCAGCCATGTAGCATTTCTTCTGTATCTGTAAGCTTACATGATGGTTTGTAATTTCGCGCAATTTTAATTGAGTCAAGTGATTTCACTATAACAAAAAAGATCGTGAAAAACATACCTGAAACAGAAAATGATGTTTTAGTGACAACCATCATATGTTTTGGAGAAATGAATCATAGTTTAGGTCAATTACTTTTCATTCTATGATGCCTGGTGCACAATTCTATATATAGCATTCTATGTACAATTTTGTGACAACTGATGATGCACTAATTTTGTTGATAAGTGAATTTTTTTTCACTGAGCGAGGTAAATGTAATCAAAATTCTTTGTTGTTAATCAATTTTTTGTTAACTGGAACCTTTGCTAACTGAGGTTCTACTGTAAATGCATTTTTACAGGTGTCCCTAATTACCCCGGGGGGGGGGTGTCCCGAGTAGCCCTGCCATGTGGAAAAAGCTGCTATCTTAAATCTGTCAATTACATTTTCAAGCCAACACTGGGTGCAACTTTTATGTTAGTAAAATTTTTTTAATATGGCAAATATTTTTTTTTGCTCCAGACCTTAGCAGATGTACTTTTCCAAAATCGCACTTTTCACACTTTTTTCAGCAATTTTTGGAGATAGTAAATGTTTGATTTCTTGACTGGCTTTATACATAATAGATAGTAAAAATGTTGAAGTTTACGCCACTATTTTTAGTTTTGCAATATTTTCATTAGTTTAGCTGCTACAACATTTCTACGAAATGTGTGATGCGCATTCCGATTTACCCCGCCCGTCCCTTTTTACCCCGTTTGACGGTAGCCGTTCCTATGCTCAGGCTGTGAAAGAAGTCAAGATAGATGAACACAGACTGGTTCCAAATCAGTAAGATGCAATGTCAAGCGTTCCTCATTCTATTCCTTTGGCAAGCTTATCTCCTTCTTGAACTTTACCAGGGGCTCTTTCTACTGTGACAATTCCTATAGATACACCAAACTCAGACTTTGTCTCCAAACAAAGATCTGAGTCCAGAAAAGCTTGTAGACCGATCTAAAAGCTGCTAAATGTAGTAATACTTCAGCTGTCACTGTTAGAAATTCAAACTAGTAAAAGTTAGTTAGCAGACTTTAGAAAAGTTATGAGGGAGGAGCTAGCTTCTAGTGAGAAATGTAGGTATTGAGGAGACTAATTGTGGGTCATTTACTGAGTTGTCAGTCAAATTGGGAAAATTCATAAATGGGGTGTTCAAACTTGATCTACTAAGTGAAAGTACTAAGGAGAGATCCCTGCTTCTGATTAGCCTTCTGTGAAATGCTTTGAGCAGGAGGTTGGTGAGTCTCTACACAGAGAGTGGCTGTCTGCCAGTAGTGGTATTTCTGCTCATGATCAGGTTGTGGGAGCATCTTCCGAAGTTTGTGTCTTGGATTTCCTGCTGCCCAAAGAGGCAGCTGATCAGATGTCAGTTGGATGCATGATTTTTCTTTTCAATCCATCACCTCCCACTTAACTAATGTGGTTTTCAAGCAAGGTGGATGAGCTAAGGAGCAACTTAGAAGTAAGATTGCTGATAGTTCACCTCAATTTTAATGAGCTACTCACTAAAATCCCAGCAGTTGACCCATCAACACAGAATAGAATTAGGATTAGAAATATTGCAACTTAACTGCAATGGCTGACATGGGAAACTCACAGAAATAAAGCTTTATTTATACAAGAGTAAAGCAGATGTCTGTCTTTGTGCCACAGGGCTGAGAATGCACAAGACAATTTTTTATATCTATAGATCAAAATTTCCATTTTTTATATTGGGATTGAAATATGTAAATCCTCTGAAATGACTCCAGTTTGGAAGAAACTATACAAACAACCTAGCCATGCTATCAGCAACTTCTTGACAATAAACTGGTTGTGTCTGTGTACGGTCCTGGAGAGGCTAACAGCGCCGATGTACCTTTATCGAATTAAATTTTGCAGGCAGTCTTTCTCTCTGTGTCATGTAGCTCGGGAAAAACTGTCCCTTCTCCACATCTTGGTAAAATGATGAGTGCTCTAAGGCCATAGTGCTGAGATATAGAGCTAAAGGCAAACTGTGGTGCTCCCCTACTCCTGCAAATCTCTTTGAATACAAGTGCTTTGAGGTTGTGGCTAGAAACCTTAAAATTAAAAAGAGCATATTAGCTTGGAGTATATAAACACCATGTTACCATCAACCACTGGAGAAGTCTGAGAAGAATACGCAGAATTCAGTGTAGGCCTATAAGAACTTCTGTTATCCATTGCAAGTTGCTGCCCATGATGATGACTTTGCCAAAAATAACTTTTTGGCCTGCCATTTGGTTCCTGTTGCTTCTATCACAGGACATCAAGTCAAATCAAGTAATAGTGAGACATGTCATGTGGAGGGCACAATCAAACATTTTATTCCGCACAAGGCAGGAGGGCCTCTCACTTCCCTGGGATTTTTCCTCAGCTCTCTGCAGTTTTGATGCCCCAATGAGAAGAAGCTCTGCTGTGATCTGTACTCTCAGGGAAATGTTTACTCAGCTGCAATATGGTGATCAGGCCGTGAATGTTCTGCAAAGCCTAATTGAATTGTACTTTTTTTCACAATTTACTGCTGCACTGGCTAGTGGAAGTGCTAAAGTGTAAAAAGATCTAAAAGTGAGGTGAAGTGGTGTTTAAAATCCCAGTTGTGCTAAGCCTGGAAGGTGTGCTCAGGCTGGCTGGGATGTGTGCTAATTGCCTAACAAAGCCTTCGAATCTATGTAAAAAAACACCAGTGTCTCTAGCACATTTAGCTTCTAAGTGTGGCCTATGAAAAGACTTTTCAATGAAGTCTGCCAAATGGCCGTTAAAATAATATAATTTAGCAATTTCAGTATTTATTATGCCGTAGGCCTTCTTTACATTGTAGAACATTGACAGCTCGTTGTGGGCTTGAATTCGGTACTCACTGCATCAAATTTTCTTGGCTTAACCGCCAGGCCTCCTTGCCGATTCTGAACAGAAACTGGCGCACAGAGCTGGGATCAAACCTGCACCTCTCTGCTCCAATCTTGCTACTCTGAACTTCAACCACTGGGCCACCCTGAGTTCTGTGGCAAAGTTATTGGCATTGACGGTATGTCTGATGATTGTAGTGGGAGGCCAAATGACAGAGATGAGATGCTTAAATTAAAACGTGTCAAGTTTTTATCATTCAATATCACATGTTAAAAAGTTATTGAATCAAAATGTTAGGCATTTGTCTTATTTTGTATGATCGCTGTATGCAACTTGTGTTCTATGGGATACTGATGTTAAGTTCTCTCAAGATAACACAAATACCATGAGACAATATTTCTGATGTAACTAGGCATTATTCCAGCCTGAAAAGAACAATATTACCTTGTAGTATAAAACATTTGCAAATAGCCAGTATAGGAATAACACTTGACAGAAGAGATTTAGTGATTTGTATAAAGTGCATGGGACTAGACATGAGTTTGAAGGGAGACAAGATGACAGAAAAGGCAGGAGTGTGGAGTCACTGAAATTACTACTTATGCACTAACTATTACCATATATAATAAGTCTTTTTGATTCAAACTTTTAATTCTTGGAAAATATTCACCATTTGTAAATTTAGGATTATTACAAGCTCATATCTATATTAATGTCTAAAGTTCTGGCAACCTAATCAAAAATAGTATATGTGAAATATCACAAATATTTATATAAACAAAGCAATGTGAGTACTGTTATGCATATATACAAATATTGATATACACATAGCAATATATATATTGATATGTTAATATGCAACATTGATACAAATCCAAATATTTCACATTAAAATGTTGCCAAGTTATGGGCATCAATGAGTTTTATTGCATCAAACGAGCCATTGTGTGCTTGAGTAACTTGGGACAAGTCAATTTTGTTGAGAATGTTGAAATTAATACCTTCTTTTGAGCACCTCTGGCACTCTATAAAATTTCCATGATTTTCCCAGTGATATTACCATTACTGTTTACATAATAGATTAAAAACTTCAACGTTGGTGATGCATAATTATCATCACATTTGGCAATGGCATCCATAACCAAAGAATGCAGTGTTGTGCCACACCAACTCTCCAATGCTGCAGTCAGGAGTGGCAGATGCCCTGAGCATAGCCTCACTCAAGCGTCTCCTGGTGGCAGCAAAGTGAAGTCAGAAGGTAAGCCAGATTCCATGGGCCTCAATAATAAGTTGCTATTGTGCTGTGGAAGAGCTGGGCTTATGTGAATTAATATTCATCTGTATTTATATCTTGGGTGCTTCAATATAAAATTTGGTAACATTGTGTGGAAATATGCCACCTCATGAGTGTCACTCATCTGAATGATAATTATTTTTTTGCCTGAAGATTGCATGACCCAATCATTTGGTAAGCATTATATGCATTGTGAGATCACTTGCTCCATAATTCAATGGTACCAGTACATCTATGTATTTATTTTACAGCCTTGGAACAGGTTGAGTCTCCACTAGTCCTACCAGCTTCTGTTATCTACATCAAGGAGGAGCCTGAGGATAAAACTGAAGAAGTTTCCATCAAAGAGGAACCATTTTTATATGGAAATGAGGTAGGTAAAGTTGATATGCAAATAAATGTTCAGCATAGCATATGAAATTCATACACAGATTTCCATGAAAAAGAATGAGCAGAATCCTATTTATGTAATCAAACCTTCAAGTTAGGCTTCAGAAGACAAATCTTAAGAAGGTATCAGAAGACAAATCTCTCTGATCAAAAGACAAATCAAACCCAGTATCAAGTATGGAATATAAAGCAATAATAATTAGTTGTGAAAAACCCTCTTCTTAATTCAATAATTACTTAGAAGTTATGGGAAGTTCTATCTGCATCAGGTTTTCTATTCTAAATCCAAACTCATCATTTTTTATGTAGTTGTCTGTGGTCAAATGATAATGCGATAGCCCTTATTGGCAGTAACCATATAAAACTGTCAAAATTTTCTTCAAATTCTTTTAAATTAGAGTATAGCACAGAATTTCAAAGAAGAGAACTGAAGAACATTCCTATGAATTGATGTAAGTTTTTAACTTGAATGATGCAACATATATACAATGTGTAGAAGGGCTTGCAACATTTACTAATGCCAATTTGATTCAATGAAATCTTGATAAGAGTGTGCACTTGCTGCTGAAATTTCCGCTTATATTTTACATATAATTTAATTTGAAAACTGGCAAGTGCAATATTTGCATCATACCGCATTGATAAAGAAGTAATTTGAAGGTAATTTGTTATGTACAGTGAGAAATTATGAACTTGCAGAGAATCCTATGCCTTCCTGAAAAAAACACTCACCATTCCAGCCACATCAACATTGTCCTCCACTTTTCCCCAGAATATCACAAGAGTTGCATACCATATCTTTCCTTGTAGAATGCACACATCACGGCAGCAACATCAACTTTGTTCTTCACTTCTCCCCAGTCTTGTTCAACTGAACATCTAAGCCCAGCACTTACACCTTCATCTTGTGTGCCGTGCAAGACGGAAGCTCAGGTTGAGGCTCGTGACGCCCTCCCAAACTCCTCACAAGACATTTCTGCTCTGTCATTAAATCAGGTATTTATATTTGAAGACGCTGTTTGAGCTTTCCCTAATTTACACTATGCCACAAATTTTTGAAAGATTTCCCTGATCATTTGTAATTATCAATGTTTTGTTTTATTGTTGGTATTATTGTATGAAATAGTAGTATGAAATCCGCCCTCATTTGGGCCAGCTGATGCACGATGCAGTTGCTTGCTGCTGGTGGTATTGCTGTGGAGGTCGATCAGGGATTGTGCCCAGGAACACGTCCAGTCGTCTTATGAAGGTCTCCAGGATGAATTCCCCTTCTCTTAGTTCCTTTGGTAGGACGTTAAAAAGCCTCGGCCCTGTCACGGAACGTTTTCCTTCCCGCTGGGATTGAAATCTGACTGCAGATCTGTTACGTAGTGGGGGGATCTTGCATAGTGTCCCCCTTCTTTCGTTATGATATGTCTCAATCCTGAAGGTCTCGCTCTCGAAGTCTGGTGCCATTCCGGTTATCATTTTCCATATATACAGAATGACATACCTCTTCCATCTTCTCTGCAGTGAGTACAGACCTACAAACCTAGGTGCTTCAACCTCTCCCAGTAGTTCAACTCTTCCATCCCTCTGATCCTGGAAGTGAATTTTTGCTGGACACCCTCCAGTTGCCAAACTGCGCAAAGTGTGAACGGTGTCCAGAGCTGGCAGCAGTATTCAAGGATTGGTATTACAAAGGCTCTAAAGAGTGTGATCATTGGTTCCGCATCTCTTGTTCTGAACGTCCGCCAGATCCACCCCATCTGTCGCCTACCTCTTGCGGTTATTGCCGTTATGCGATCACCAAAATTGACCTGGTTATTCGTCAACACTCCTAGATCGGGAACAAGTCGCTTCTCTTCTATTTCCGATTTGTCAGGTGCTAGGTAGAGGTGCTCCATACCAGCACTTCCGCTACCTCTGTATCTCAGAATCTCAAACTTGGTCCCGTTGAACTGCATGTTGTTCACTTGGGCCCAGTCATATATTGCAGAGATGTCTTCTTGCAACCTCTCGCAGTCACTCCTGTCCGTTATGGTCATTAGTATCCTGGTGTCGTCCGCGAATGAGGATGCAGAGGCGTGGTTCACTGTCACATCTGTGCCGGCGATGTGAATGAGGAAGTGGATTGGGCCAAGTACCGTTCCCTGTGGTTCTCCTCTCTTCACCCTAGCCTTGCTCGATCTCGAGCCTCCTACAACGACAACTTGTAGACTTTCTGTTAGGAAGCTGTGGATCCATGCCAGCAATCACCTCCGACCCCCAGTAGCCTTATTTTTCTGAAGAGCACTCCATGGTCAACTTTGTCAATCGCTTTCGCGAAGTCCAAATAACCACGTCCATCCCAGCCCCCTCCTCCGGTAGGGCCAGGATTTGGCGGTGATGCTCCAATAACTGAGACAAACAGAAGCGATTTCGTCTAAAACCGTGTTGCCTACTGTTGAAAAGGTCAGCTTCCTCCATGTACTGCACCAACCTTCTGGCAACAACCTTCTCAAATACTTTGATTAAGTGTGATGTTAATGTAACCGGCCTGTAATTTTGGGGTTTGTCTCTCGCATCTCCTTTGTAGATTGGGGTTATTAGCCCTAACTTTAGGTCACTAGGAACGTTTCCTTCTCTCAATGCTCCCTAGCGAATCAAAGTAGCTGTGTTGCCTGGTTTCTGACCTGATCTCTGCGCCGTCCTAAACAGTCCAAGTGTGGCCATCGTATGTGGTAGTTAAAATCCCCCGCAACCACAATATTTGGGGAAGGTTCACCCAAGTTGGTCACCTCTGTTTTTATTCTCTTGAGATTTTCGTTGAATTTTTCTGGCGTGCAGTCGGGCGGTCGGTATATGATAGCTCTGCACAGTTGGAGATAGGAGTTGTATAGTATAACATGTTACACATACCCATTGGAGCCTAAATGCAGGGTAACTGATTTTGCCGCGAGGGAGTTTCTGAGGCAGACTATAACGCCTCCTTTTTTCCTCCCTTCTTTTTGGTCTGCTTGATAATGTTGAAAGCCTTTCATCTCAATTTCTCCATCTTGGATATCCTCTATTAGGTGTGACTCGGTTAAGGCAAGCATTATTATTCCTTCTGTCACAGCAATTTCTTTAAGTACGACGATCTTGTGGCTTTTTTTCTTGGGAACAGCCCCTCTATGTTAGCTATCATGATGCCAGATTCTTCTTTTCAATGCGTTCTTAGTTTAGTTGCAACACAGACACTGCCAGAGGTCTCTGGCTCAGCAACTGTTGCATTTGTTGCTGTGATTTCTGCTGCTGTTAGTGCAATATCAACAGCTGCTGCATTTGTTGTTGAATCTGATCTACTTGCCTCTGTAGGCCTAAAAAATTACTGCAACTGAAATCGAGTCTTCTTTGTTCTTCTTCACTCCGGTAGGTTGTGTTGGCCGGTGCGGTAATTATTGGAACTGCCCTGTTTGATTACGATAGATTTGCCCTTCCCAGAACGGATTTTTTTAACCATGAAATAATTTTTTTCTGAAGTTTTGAGTTTTCCATTAGAATCTATCCGGTGTTCCGAGAAGGAAGTATCAGAGTCCCGTCTCTTCAGCATTACCTCTCAACTGCAGGTTGAGTCCAAGGTGATGAAAACCACAGTTATCTCGTTTGCGAGCTATATTTTTAATATTATTTCAGCACAAAAACGAATGGTAGTATTGACAGTCTCTCCCATTTTTGCATCCGCGTTGGTTTTTGCTTCCAAATGTTAAAAATTTGTGACATATTTGGGTGAGAATAATTACAGCTCCTTTCTTCAATCTCCCAATCGCACTTGCCCTGACGATATCTCCAGCAAACGCGTTTCTTAACAGTTAAATGCCTGCTGTTCGAGGCATTTACAGGGGAGAGGGGAGGTGCAACGCTGCGGTTAAGGGTTGGGGTTGGCGGGGTACTGCGTCGGGCAGCAGTAAGGAATGCGGGGGAGGGAGTAGAGGGATTGAGGGGAGTTGAGGATAACCGCGTCTGAGTGGAACAGAGAGACCCATTCATGTTAGGCCTATTGCTCACTAATGCTAGAATATCTTGCACACTCTCATGCCTTCTTTCATCCACGTCTCGTTCATCACGCATTTTCTACAAATGAATGATATTTCTACATATCTATGATGAAAGACTTGATCAGTTCAGTTGATAAGTGTTGGTAGTGAGACTGGCAACAGATTTCATTTTAACCTTGCACTTTAATCCTGCTAGTAAACTATAATGATTTTTAATCATTTGAAATACATAGCCATACATTTAATTTCTCTTAAGCAAGGATAATATCCTGGAATAAGATATCTAGTTCATACAGTGTAGGAAGATGAGGTAATGCAATTGAACCCGTTACATGAAATGTAACACCCTCACTCTGCTCATGTGTCTGGGATCACATCAAGGGAGGGGAAAATTGGTAATAATCAACAAATCACAACATGGGACAAAGGCTTGGGTTCCTGACATTAGTTATATCCTGAAGTTGTCCATGGTCTCCTTGGGTGAACTTACTTCCCATACATATTACAGAGCTGGTTTTTCCTTACATGGCATGACATGGCCTATAAGTACCATCATAAAGGAAACAAATATAGTTGTATAATATTGAGAATTAAGGCAGCGAAATACAATCTTTATAGCAAAATGTAAAGATTATGTTCAGCTCAGTAATTCTGTAAATAAGGTTGGTGTCATTGTGGCCCTGGTCCAGGAAAGGCTGCAGCCAACATATAACCAGAGTTGGGTCTCTTCAATGAGTTGGCAGTACCTGTGTATGTTGAAAATGTTGTTGTTGATTCTGATATTATTATTGCTTAGAAGAATGCAGTTATCAGAACGAAGTTGTGCCAGATTCCGTCATGTAGATCTGGGATGGTAAGTTTGGATTTGTTCATTTTTGGGAGTTAAGGAAGCCAGCTGCCAGGAAGTACAGGTGCCTAGTATGAGTCAATGACGTTGTTGTTGCAATAGCCCATCCTGGTAGTGGCCACTGGCCACTAGGTTAGTGTGGGGTGATAGGTCAGTTTTCAAGGCACTAAGGCCACAGGTAGTTGTCTACCATCAGTTGCTTGCTGATCCAGTAGAACTCTTTTTGCATAACACTGTAACACAACACCCTGCACAAGCCAGGTCCTCATTTATCAGCCATTATTGAATGAATGGCAGAGTTAGCCCAGAGCTGAGCTTCCCCCCAAAAAACGGTGCAAGAAACAAGGTCTCTCACCACTGCAGCTCTAGTAGATGGTACTGGTGTGGAGGCTGTTACTGGCTGTTCTAAAGGTAGCACTTTGCACTGGTGATGTTGATTGGTAGTACTGGCTGATTTACATTGATATTTTTGGTGTTCAGAGTGTCTTTCATGTTGTTGGGTTGGTGGTTTAGTCATGTGATTTGATGGCTGGACTGTTATGGTCAGAAAAATTGCAGTAGTTAGGTGACATCGCATTTGACATTCAGAGTTATGATGCTGTCTTCATATTGTGTCGTGGCAACCAGTTAATGTGTGCTGGGTGGCATTTTGAACGGCTTGGAGGCAAGTGAAGTTAGTGGTAAAGTGATCAAGGTCCAGATTGGGCAGGTGTAGTTAGACCTTGTATTATCTATATGATGGTGATGAGAAGACACTTGGTATGTCATTAAATTTTAAGGTTTTATGGTTTTGTGTTGGGTGGTGAAAGTGATCATTTCATCAAAATTTAGCCATGATATATTTGGATTGTGTTAAAGCAGGAATTGAAGTTGTGACCAAATAATTGCAACTAACCTATTTGCTCAGACTAAGTATTAATTCTGAGCAATCCACCACAGACTGGTTAAAAATTCCAAAATTCGTACCCTATTTGTCACAATTTGATAAGTCAACAGTTTAGTGTGACTGTTGATGTCATTATTATGAGAAATTGTTTTACTCTGTATTTTTATCATTAGTTTGGCGAAGGCTCAGCACTGGCATCAGGAGACCCTCCTGGTGGCACTGATGTCTCTGGGGCATGCAGCTCGAAGCAACACATCAGACTTGGGTGTTCCCATCGTGGATTGGTGCCTGCAGGTGCAGGCAAACTGCAGCAGCACCTTGATCTGGAACATCCTGCTTCAGGACCTCGCCGCTGCTCGGAACACACCTCTACTTCAGGGAGTGAACTACAGCACCACATTTATGCAATACATTCAGAAGAAAAACCTTTTCAGTGCTCTGAGTGTGATTATGCTTGCACTGCAAAGAGGTACTTGAAAAGCCATTTTCTTCTCAAGCATTCAACTGAAAAACCTTTTCGGTGCTCTGATTGTGAATATTCTTGCACCATAAAACAGAACTTGAAAAATCATTTCCTATCCAAGCATTCAATAGAAAAACCATTTAAGTGCTCGGAGTGTGATTATGCTTGCACCCTAAAAGGCAACTTGAAAAAACATGTTCTTCACAAACATTCAAGAAGAAAAACTATTCAATGTTCAGAATGTGATTATGCTTGCTCCTCAAAAGAGTACCTGAAAAGTCATTGGCTTCACAAGCATTCCACAGAAAAACCTTTTCAGTGCTCTGAGTGTGATTATGCTTGCACCACAAAAGCACACTTGGAACGCCATGTGCTAAACAAACATTCGACAAAAAAACCTTGTCAATGCTCAGAGTGTGTTTATGCTTGCACCACAAAAGTCAACTTGAAAAGACATTTTCTTCGAAAGCATTCCAGAGAAAAACCTATTCAGGGCTCTTAATGTGATTATGCTTACACAATGAAAAGGGACTTGAAACGTCATTTCCGGTCCAAACATTCAGCAGAAAGACATAAGCAGACATTCAGCAGAAAGACAAGTGCTCCGTGTGCGATTAGGCTGGCGCCACAAAATGGAATTAGAAAATACATCTTCATTGCAAGCATTCAACAGAAAAAGCCCATTTGATGCTTGAAGTGTTATATGTAAATCACTAATGTATCGTTCAATAAAATTTTTCTCCATGTCAATAAAGGCGCCGTTCGGTCAATAAACTTTTTCTGGATAGTGCCTGGAGAGACCTGCAGGCGTCTGGAGACTAAACCCCAGGCCCCTTCCAGAGAAAGTTTCATTGACCTAAGTGTTAACATGCATGTTTAATGTGGATGGAGCAAATTAGACACTAGGATCAAGTGCAGAACATTTGATCTTTTTAGACAACAGAACCAAGCTGTGTAGAGTATCTCAGCCAAACAACTCACTGCCTTCAAGGAAGAGGGGCTCAGCTGTTCAATATCCCTTCAAGGTGGCAGTTGCTTGGGGCGGCGTGGATATGAAAAAGAGCAATGAAGTTTCTCGCTTGTTGTGTCTTCTCAATACTGCTGGAATATTAGCAAATACTGGTCCATTGGAATATTAGCAACCATTTTTCTTGAAGCCTTCATGAGGGTCTGAAAGCTTTGTGAGAGTGAATTTCATGCTCTATAGTGTAACTGTGTTGCAGTTATCCCCAGGTTTACTGACTGACTGTTACTAACTAATTATGGTTTTTCTGACAGCAGAACACACTCTTGTATTGTTGTGTAGGTTGAATTGGCTAGTAATTTAGTAACCGTGCAGAGCTCCTGATTGATTTTGTATGTTTAATTTGATATCTTTTATTGATGTCAACATTTCATTTACTTCTATTTTACTATATAAGATTAGTTAATGCTAAACTTGCCCTGGTGTAATGATGTAAGTTTCAAGATAAGTAATTCAATCTTTATTAGTTGCTTTTTTGCAGAAAAAGTCATGCTCATGAATTGGGATCAATTTATGTTGAATTTTTTTGCCGATTTAGGACTGATTACTTCATTACAGTTCCTTGCAGTTGAAACAAAATATACCCTATTCCTATGAGGGCTGTTATTTGATCCTTGAACTGAGCGGCATATTTATTCTCAACCATCAGCTGGCCGTGAGTGTGGTTGTGTCCAGCCCCTTATACCAAGCAGTTGTCCTCCAGCTGCACTCACATCCAACACATTTGTTGCCATCTGGATGACAGCTTTTATCAAAGTGCTCTGCTACTATAGGATCATCATTTCTTGATTGTATTTGTTTGCTAAAATCTTGCTCTTCCCAGAAGTTAGATAATACAGCTATTCAATATCTCCGGAATTCTGTTGTCCAGCAGAAAAACCTACAAACTAGATTGATTTTAGAAGATAAGCTGGAGGAAAATCTTTAAACTAACGATGCTTTAAGATTGAAAGGACAAAAATCTTCTAACTAAAGTGATGTTCCATGAATAGCTGAACAATTTTCTAAATAGAGTTTTGTTTGAATGTTAGCAGGAGAAAGATATTTGAACTAGAGTGATGTTTGTAGAGTATTAGAATTAGACTCGTATGAACCAGCGTTCAATATTGAGTTACTGATCAACTTCCATTTTATATTTTTGAGGAATCTATAGTTCCTTCATTTTAGAGAAGAAGTGAAATCTCTTAAATCGAGGCCAAGTTTTGTTCCAAAATGTTGTAATTCTTTCGCTGGAGACCGCGCGACGCCTTAGCAACCTTGACCACGGCAGCTCGCGTGCATGAGCAATAGAAATAAGCTAAAGAATTGTTTGACTCCTTAAAAATTTAACTGCATTCTCTGGTCATTAATCGTACATTTATACATGTGTATTTCATTCAATGTTGGTGTGATGACATTAGTTCCATGCTGGTAAATAGCTAGCATTAGTTCCATGCTGGTAAATAGCTAAACATTCAACGTACCGATATCGACCATTTTCCAACGTTGAAATAAGGTTGTTTTACGTCCTCTCTAGTTTTAGTCAGATTTCGACGTTGATCGGACGTTTAATTTTGGCTGTTCAGCATTTCAACCTGAAATCAACATTGATTCAACGTTTAAAAATTAGTAAACATTCAACGTACCAATATCGACGTTGTTTCAACGTTGAAATAAAGTTGTTTTACATCCATTCTAGTTTTGGTCAGATTTCGACGTTGATTGGACGTTTAATTTTGTTTTTTTCACCATTTCACCCTGATATTAACCAATTTATCAACGTTGTTTCAGCGTCAGATGCCTGCTGGGAAGTTATTTTACTATATTCTATGGAACAGGACTACACTGTAGTTATTATAAAATTCACCGAGTCTTCTGTGAAGGAAAGGTGTTGCCCAATTTTTAATGCTTGTGGCACTTCAGCTCCCATGTGGAGATCAGGGATGTGCCTTGGCGCTGCATGCATTGAAAGTTACAGCTTGGTAAATTTATTTGTGGTAACTCAGATCAGGTGGGACCTTGGGAATGTTTTGCAACTGACCAAGCAGGGTTATGTACCCTTTATGCATAAGGGCATTTGAAAAGTGGAGGTGGTATTTTCATGCTGCGGAACTCCAAACCCAAAAGGATCCAGAGTGCCAAAGAAAGTGCTTTCTTGAGTAAACGATTTATTGGCGTATTTCCAGGTTTGCAGAGAAGACGACGGCGGGACGTGGGGGTCTTGTGAGATGGCGGGACGTGGGGGTCTTGTGAGATGGCGGGACGTGGGGGTCTTGTGAGATGGCGGGACGTGGGGGTCATGTGAGATGGCGGGACGTGGGGGTCATGTGAGATGGCGGGACGTGAGGGTTTTGTGAGATGGTGGGACGTGGGGGTCATGTGAGATGTAGGGACGTGGGGGGTCTTGTGAGATGGCGGGACGTGGGGGTTTTGTGAGATGTAGGGACGTGGGGATTTTGTGAGATGACGTCGTCTCTCACAATGAATGGGAATATAAAGTAACTCATTGGAGTGGAACTATTCGTTGTTTTTCTACTACAACAACAGCACGATTCGCAGACCTGATAATTTGCACTATACATACACTAACGATAGGCCTGTGACGTAACTCGCGCCAATCGACTAATGAAAACTCTTGTGAAATTAACGGATTAATTAGATTAATGGTCAAAAATACGTACGCATTCCAATCGTTTGCAGTGAACTTGGTCAACCTGTCCATGTTCTGTTGACCACTTTTCAACGGACAAATATACTGCCAATATAATCCATGTTTACGGAATATCCTTTTCTATTTTTTTCTAACCACTGGGCAGGGTGGTCCAGTGGTTACAGTTCAGTGTACCATAATGGGAGCAGAGAGGTGCGGGTTCGAACCCAGCTTTGTGCACCAGATTCTGGTGAGAATCGGCGAGGAGTCCGGGCGGTTAAGCTCAGCAGAATTGAAGCAGTGAGCTGCGAGTTCGAAACCGCAAAAGGCTGTGAATGTTCTGCGATGTTAAGAATCTGCGACAGGCCTGCAGTGTGCTAAACGCTGAAACCGCTATTTATATGATTATTATTTAAAAATACTGATAGTGTTTCGTAACCCATGCTTCTTATGATACTCAAAGTATTTTCTCCCGGCTCACAACGGTCTCCCAGCTCACAACCTTCTTGCAGCCAATGACTGGCTCTACCAGCACACTTGAACCGCCTTTCTAACTTCCTGCAGCCAATGAGGTTAGGTTAGGTCCGCTCAGGTTTGTTTGAGTGAAGAAATGTTTCAACTTGTGTAGGTTAGGCCGAAATAGGTTTGGCCAGATGCAATATGGCCTAACTTACCTTTAGCAAGCTTTTTTGTGGTTGCGGACATCCTGCGTTATGGATTTGAGCACCTGACTTCATAGGTTGTTATGCCCTCTAGCGTTTTTACCTAGGGAAAGAAATATGAACTAATTGTTGAGTTTGGCAAAGCTGGCCTTAGGCATGCGCCCCTCTTGCATCACAGACGTGCTTGTATGAATTATATGCCTGCACAATTCTTGCATTAAAATTCATATCTATTTTGGAATCCGCGCAAACGGCCGATCCGGGTTTATGAGTGAAATTGAATTTTTTGGTGCTGTGACTCTCATATGAGGCTAAGTTTAGGGCATGCCTTGAGTAAAAACTAACCTGGGGAGTGGGGACACCTATTGTTGTTGGGTCATCCACCTGGGCCTGGTGTGTATGAATATAGTTCAGCTAACCGCGGCTCTGCCGTGTTCCCCGGCTCTGCCATGTGCGTTTTTCGTAGTTCTGCCGTGTTTCGCGGCTGTGCCATGTTGTACGGCTCTGCCGTGGCGTGTTCTCTTCAACAGGTGCTAAGAATAGGAAGAGCTTGAGTTAGGCAAGGAGCTAGAGTTAGGCAAGGTGGTGCACTGATTGAGAGAATCAGTGCACCACCTTGCCTGATTTGTGAAGTGCCACCTGCAAATTACTTGGCAAACGCAATTTCGCAAATATAACTCAAAACCCTGTTGTGGCTCACTGGCTCTGCTGGCTCGTGGGGCTGTATTGGACTGGTCTTCAGAGGCTCCTGCAAATCTGTGTGACCAATTTTTTGCACCAATAAGCCCTGAATCTAACGCCTTTAATCTCTCTGGACATCCACCAATCCGCCTTCAGCCGTGAACCACTCGGCTTTGTCCTCCTCCAAGGCTCCAGCCTTGCATAAAACCTGCCGTGCAGCGTGCACCACCAGACCGCAGATCAAATATGACTTCTGGCACTGGGCATCGTTATATTATATGCCTAATTTTATGTTTACCACATCTGAGCCTCTGAGGTTAGGTTAGGTTTCAGATAGCATAGTTCTGTTCCAAAATTTATCATTCTTCAATGAGTGGCCATTCCACCGAGCTGACCGAGGGCTGGTTTGATGCACGACCTAGATATGATTGTCCAGAAGCAACATAGTGGCAAACCAGAGCTTTTTTGGAATCAGTTCATTTTTAATTTCCCCAATAACTCAAGATTTAAACCAATTCCTTAAGTATGATAATGATGGTATCCATGATACTTTACTGGTCTACTTATAAGACTCAAAAATGAACTTGAGAAGTTGAGGGTGAGGGAGAGCCTAAAAAACTCTCTGCTTTGTCACTATGAGAAGCAAGATTGGAATTTTCCTCACTTCTTTCTGAAATCTCGCAGCTCCAATGTGAGGCTTTTTTATACATTTGGAAACTCATGGCCCTATCATGGACTCGTGTTAACAATTATTTATCCTAATATAGGAGGTAATTCATTTGGCGGAAATCTCGCAGTTCCGGAAATGGTGGGAAAGCTCTAGTTGTAGCCCTAATGGTAGGTGTTTTCCACTCTTGTCCAGACCAGAAGTGTTGAAAGCTATGTTCTGGAAGCCAGGAATCATGATGGTCCATTACATCCAAGGCAGTAGTGGTCTTTGGCAGGCAACCCTATTTTGGATAGATAGATTTCGACACATGGGGCACAAGCCGGAGGCCTGCTTGGCCAAATTTCTCACTTAGTTAATATATCTTGCCTTAGGTAAGAACGCTAGAGGGCAATTGGCATAACAGCCCATAAAGTCGAGTGCTTACAACCACAGCGCCAAATGTCCACAGGCACAAAATAAGCTTGCTAAAGGTAAGGTAAGCATGGCTAACATCAATACCCAGGACCTCCATACTTACTGCATCTGGTCCATAGTGCCATGATAGTGGCAAATGAGTAATTTTTTAGAATCAGTTCATTTTTAATTTTATCATTTACTCAAGATTTAAGCCAATATCCTATGTATGATAATACTGGTACGGGTACCCATGATACTGTAAGGGATTGCAATAGGACTCTTGAAATTTATCGTTTAGTTCTTTTCTCCTGCCCTGAAATGCCCACATCCCTGTTGGTGGGTGACCTTTGGTCGGACCCCGTAAACGCTGCAGGGCTGCTGGCCCGCTGGGGCGACCAACTTGGCTGGCCCCAGAACTGGGTCTAGGCCCCGCCTCGCGCCATGAAGCGAGGCGGGGAGGGTCAACAACAACAGTAAATCGGGACTTGCATCCCACATTTCGTAGAAATGTTGTAACAGCTAAACTAATCGAAATATTGCAAAACTAAAAATAGTGGCGTAAACTTCAACATTTTTACTATCTATTATGTATAAAGCTAGTCAAGAAATAAAATATTTACTATCTCTAAAAAACGCTGAAAA